CATATTGCACCATAGCCAAAACAAGTGCCTGTCTGGTCATGGTCGTAACAAGGACGAGCTATAACCTCTACAAATCGTGACAATTTGATGTGTGGAGCACTATCAGTCGAGGAGCTTCCAGGCTTCACACTCTCAGCTTATGAAGGGGTCTCTTCATTTCAATCTATATAAGTGTTGTAATGGGGATCAAAACTCTATAATGTGGTTTCTGTGCGATGGAAGCTGTACCGAACTCGCTCGCAAATACAAAGACAACAGGTTTCCTAGATTCATTGTAGCTCCCGATTCCGACTCTTCCCTCGGCGTCAACTTCCCGCGAAGTTCTGTGGGAAAACGAATCACATTCTCTTACAACTCGTCTACTTGCTGAAGGATCCTCGACCATTAGGCTTGATATAGAAAGCTGTCACCTCTGAAGGAAACCACTCAAGCGCCAGATTACTGGATTAATGACTAGATGAAGGGTTTGGGCGATACCCGGTCCCAAAACACGATCTCCTAACTCCGCGTCCTTCTATAAGGAGCTGGCAGGACGCGACCAATAAGGACATGGCTGAAGTCGAGGTGACTGCAGAAAATGAATGACTGATCGTGAGGGAAGAAGGGAATGGAGACGACCAAACAGAACAGTGGAAAAAACCCTTCAACGGCACGAGATCAACGGCATGGTAAGAATGGTGAAACCATCGAAATTAGATGCGCCTCTCGACAGTTTTGAAGGAATTTGGTTGAAATAGAACAACAATCAAGTCGTTACTGTCCAAATCATTCGAAGAATTGTATAGACTGTGCAATGCCCGAAGACCAGATGATATGATATCGAAATTGTGGCTAACAAAATGATATCATACCAATTTACCAACATTTTACCAACTGAATTAACTCTCCACGTGAGAGATGCGAAAATAGCCGAACTGATAAAAAATGAAAAAAACTACGTGAGGAAGTCGAATGGGGGTGAGGGGGGGGGGGGGGGGTGGGGAAGGTGGACTCCAGGGTTGTGAAGCCTGAAGCTCCTCCAGTGATAGTGCTCCACACATCAAATTCTAACGATTTGTAGAGGTTATCGCTGGTCCTGGTCACGACCATGACCAGACAGGTACTTGCTTTAGCCCTGGTGCAATATGGAGCTAATCTGGAGGTGGCAGCACGTGACAGAGAGTTGACAGAGAAAATGTTCTTAACGGTCTATCACTCTCGCAGCCAACTACTTGACCTAATTGCCCTTTCACAAGAAGGATATTAGGTTTGCTGTTTCTTAATTCGCCACACTCTACCCCATGTCGTTTTTCCCCATACTGCATACACTTCGAGGAAAAACTGAAAATGGGCTAGACCATACTTGAGGACCAACGCCTATTCTGTTCACAACAGCCAGTTTGTCCTCAAAACCGATCCGAACCGATTCTTTGACTTGAACTTCACGGATTTCTACAAACGAGCGCCGAATAAATTTTATTATCATGAAAATATGTTATAAATTGTAATGGTACCCATAAAGGCCTGTGTAATATAAAACAATCCTACTATATATCAGTATAAAGTTGGCACATTCGCTCTGAGCTAGGCAGCATCTCAATGCATTTGTCAACAGAAACGAACAAGATCAAAATGCTCCTGTAACCGATAACGTGTATCACCTGCCATCTTGTTGATCAATTCCAACAAGCGGGCATTAGTGACACATCCATTCCTCCCCGTTATGAGCAAGAGAGGCCCAGTGAGCCATGCTCGGTCGAGGGAGTATTCCTTCCCTTCTGAGTTTTCTGAAACAATATGATCATCTCCATGGCGGCCTATTGAATTCGTTTGACGTCCCGATCATCATCAACCGCCCTGGTTCAACGGCTACCACGTCATCGCATATCGCTCCAGCCAACCTGGCCTTCGATTTCTTGGCGTAAGCAGTGGCATCGTTCGTTGACGGGACTCGGAACTTTGAGCTTCCCTCTGTTTTTGCTTGTATGAGGAGGAAGATATCGCGCATCGTCCTTTCTAAGGCGCGTTGAGTAACCCTGAGCATGTTCATCCTGCTTGTGTAGAGTCCAAGTCTCCGAGGCGTACCTGAAAGCGGGGAGGACCGCAGTGTGGAGAAGGTGAGTGTTTTTGTCTTTTTTTGCCTTCACCACCACTGGATATTCTTGAACGCTCTGGGTTTCCTTCTCCGCTTAGCTCCGGAGCTTAAAGATCTATCACATTGACCTCGATACATGTAACTAACGTCTGCATCGAAAAGCCAGGAGTTTCCTTCAGAGCAACAACTGATTTCATTCGATATAACCTTTCAGGTATTGTATCGACATCAACTTTACAAAAATAAAAGATTTTCTTGAATCACGCAGTGCACAGCTTCACTTGGCTTTAAGAATCCGAAAAAAGTGGAAATGAAGTTTAGTGATAACAGACGGTATACAGATTGGCATTAGCTACTATTACCGCCTAGTTCTCACACAGTTTGCTGGCTTTCCACGAAGTAGGCACTTTGCAGTCCGTTAGGTTCCACGTGAAGAGCTAGGCGACGTCAATTAGTTGAAAGCTCAGCTACAGGTTCTGACCCAATCCCCTCAGTACCGGACGACGTACAACTCTTCGCTGACGTGTTCGCATGTTGAATTTCAGAAGGCAGAATTGAAAGAACGACATATCCGCTTCAAATAAAAGTAGGCAAGTAGACGTTGGAGAAACCAGAGAACAAAAAAGCCGTAGGCCTAGGCTAAGTTCTTTTCGTACGAATCGACATTCATGGCCAGAAGCGTGTTGCCGAACACATCTACGTCTCTGCGTTCACATATTCCAAGACCAAATATCCTACAAACACAAACAAAACGCGGCGCAACGGGTGATTTCTTCCCTTCTCCGTCAGCCCCATGACTTGCACGTAATCTGCCTTGTTGCATCATCAGATCCTTGTTCCTGATGATACAACAAGGAGTATCGGGAGGCCATTAGCGGCTATTATTGAAGGCGGCTCGAATCGTCTCCCGAATTATTTCCCCACCGCTCGAATGTAAGCTTTTGACAGAGCCGTTGTGCAGATTGGCAACCGCAATGGCACATTAGCCATTTTTCACTTTGGTATTCTGATATGCTTTTGAAGTTTTAGCAGCCACCCCAAAGCGGTGCTACCCATTTGGGTTAAAGGCACCTATCACAAAAAAGTTAGGGTACCCTTTTCTGACGGGAATTGATAGGACTACTCTAGAATAAAGCGATAACAACGAAAAAAGCGCAGAAAACGATGAACAAAAAGAATTAAAAAGGGCCAAAAAAAAGAGCTGGAAAGGGGGTTGGACGAGTTTCACAGTGAAAGAACGTCGGTTAGAGAGTGTTCGGGCAAGTTGGCAAATTGCCAGGGACGGCAAATTGGCAACTTGCCAGAGACGCAATGTGCTGTCTGCAATAGCATGCAACACATTGCGTCCTTGGCAATTTGCCAATTTGCAATTCAGGGTGGGTCCTGGCGCGATTACATGACACTGTGTGGTCTCGACACTCCTCTAACGTGACACCGATCAAGGGGCGGAGGGCGACCGTGGATACCTCTCCGGCCCCTTATTGTGCCCTATCCAGCCGTTTTCCAACCTCATTCCTGCACAAATGGTTTCAGAGGGGGCTTCGAATTCAAACCATGTGCAAATCTCCGAAACCACTTTTTCGTAAACAGTGCCTTTAAGGCCAATAAAACCCACTTGCATTATTGTTCTCAGCACATGGTTACCCTGACGTAGCTTAGCAGGCTCCGACGTGGAAGATGGGTAGACTCCGAGTTAGCCAGTATTGAAGGCGGCTCGAATCGTCTCCCGAATTATTTCCCCACCGCTCGAATGTAAGCTTTTGACAGAGCCGTTGTGCAGATTGGCAACCGCAATCGCAATTCCACGCAGGCATGCATGAATACACCTGCTAGAGGACAAAAGCTTCAACACAACATAACGAAGCCAAAAGGAGCCCATCCCCTGAGTTCTATTACGTCTCTAGGCAAGTACCACTGGCTTTTGATCGGCGAGTTATTCCCATATTCGCCATCTGATTGTGAGCCCGTGCCACCTAGCCTCTCACCAAGCGGCTACAGAGCACTTGCGTAACATCACATCAATGCGTAACAATCGCTCGTGGCATAAACGAGAGGAGTCACTACGCACTTCATGACGAAAAACTACTGGACGCCTATCCAAAATCAACGGGAGCGAGCTGACGTGCACTGAAACTGAATTATTTCCAATCTATGGAAGACGAAATGATATGCGTGAAGCCTCCGCTATTGAAAATGGGAACGGAGAGGAGCTGGGTCCGATCTCCACCTTGAGACTATCGTTCGTGTTCGTCGTAATTCAGCTCAGGAAAAACGCCGAAAAAGGTCCACAAAGATAGTTAGCCCGTGAAGGTGATGCTTTCAATCTGGTGATCGATCACATGCAGCTATAGAATATGTAACATGTTGAACAGCGAGGAGGAATCGCTAGATCCATAATGACAACCACAATCCGCCAATCTTGAGTAAAGTGAAGAAAAGTTCGTGCACCATGATTGGACGCACACGCTCTGCCCCTTGTAGAACAGACATCGACTCAACCGACTATTGGATGCTCTTCAACTACTTGGTAGAAAAAAATGCAAGAGGCATTATCATAAGGGCATTTAGATGTCGCACTCTCAATGTCCGGTTGCATTTTGGGGGACGACATCAAGAAGACTGAACGTTGGCAAGTAGTAGTCGAAAAGGTGGATAGCGACCCTTCCTCTGGAACTAGTTGCAACTACTGATACGATACTAGACTACTGCGTTACGGGTGACGCTCTCTGAATTTCCACGGCCTCTGGCAGTGCTTCCCCGCCTATCGTTCCACTGGAAATTCGAATCTTTCCCTTCACAACGCGCGGTCGCGCGCGACGAACATGCGCGCCCTTGCGGGAGAAGATACCAGACCCCCATAACACTAGTAGGTCTTCTCTACCATAAACTGACTTAATGTACAGTTTTGCATAAAAAACATTTACGCTTACTTATGCAGGTGCACTTCTTTCGTCTGACCCATGCGATGAATGCGATCACGGGCCTGTAGCTCCAGAGCTGGATTCCAGTGAAGGTCCATAAGAATAAGATGATTTCCTGCAATGTCACTCAAATGTTTTACCTCTATTCTATTCGCTCCCTACGATGGATTACTGGACTTGTGTACCATCTAAACTGATCCAAGTGATTCAGCAAAACGCACCTCCCGTTAGATTCAATCCTACACCTCCAGCTGTGATAGAAATAAGCATTACAACTATTCCATTAGCATCTTCATTGAAACTATTTACACGATTTTGCCTGAAGCAAACGACTCGAAACATTCATAAGTAGACTTGTCTAAAAAAGAGTATACCGTTCAATGGGAAGGGTTTCACCACAAATCGTTGAGCAATAAGCATGTGGGAATCGTTTATTGATATGCTCCTCAAGGATCTTCAAGAAAGAGGTCCATTGGGATACAATGACACTGGAATGTATCCATATCCATTAGACCACTAACATGTTGCCTTTAATGAAATCGTGGCCTAAGTAACATAAAAAATCATAGCAACTACAAAACAAATCTCGTCTTGTTAGAGCAGTCCATGGCAAGAAGCAAAGATTATTTAACATTCGCATTGCACTGATCACGACGGGCTCTCTCGCTTTTCGTGTCAAAGCTGGCCTGCTGCTATTCTACCCCAGTTTGACACCCTGTTAAAAGAAAACAGGAAATATGAAATTTCGCCCTGGAATATTCACATCCAACACACTTTGTGAGCGTCATCCGAAATAAGCGGAGTTCAACTAAAATAATGTGTATCTTAGTTAAGTTTTATTCTCCACTTTTTTCAACTTGGCTATATAATTTTACTCAGATTTTGCTCATTTCGCACCATACACCTTAGTTAACCATCAGTGCCCACAGGAATGCTCAACTCTCCAGGCCCAAGAGAGCAGAAGATATGTGGATTATATTAGTAGGGCACTACATGTCATGACATTGTTATTTCATTTGATTTCCAACAAAATCGCGTGAGCTATTGAATACAAGGCGAAGCAGACAAGCTTCACACGCAACAAAATCTTCGATCCATAAAATTTGTAACAGCTTCCAAAAATAAAATTACCACTTTTCACCATCTTGGAGGATACGCCCAAGAAGTTCCAGAGCGAGCTCGATCTGGAATAGCACACTTCTTTCACATACATGGGGATCACCATATTTGCGAGACATGCCTACCTTAGCACTGACATATTTTCTTTCAAAAATATCGGTAATGTTTTCCACTTCATTTGGGCCCATGTATTTGTCTATAGTGAGATTAACTAAATTTTCTTGTTCTTCAGCACTAAGTGGATTTTCGAAGCCTATTGATTGAAAAGCCTCCATATCTACAGCCTAAAATAATAGGATAAACAAGCTGGTACAAATCCAACACATGAACAACCTGACATTTTTAGTTAAGAAGAAATGAATACACGCTTGACGAAGACGCAGCAAAATTACCAACATACAACCCATTTTTCCGAATTTAGAGTTCGGATTTGAATTAGCAGCAGAACCTGAAATAGTTAATAATACAATAGCATGAGAAACTTCAAAGAAAAACGGCTCACCAAGGAATACATTTTTGCTCGTTAATGTCGCATCACGCTTCTTTGTCACACGTGCACCGAATCTCTCGTCTGCCTCTTCTTCAGTTATCATTTCCCTTACTCTCGCCCTAAAAAATGTTAGGCTAGACTATAAGAAAAGAGTAGCGAATAATGAAACACTTCTAATCTAAATAATGATGAGGCCACGCGAGCTCGAATGTACGGTTACAGTGCCTCAGGATCTCGTTTNATACAACCCATTTTTCCGAATTTAGAGTTCGGATTTGAGTTAGCAGCAGAACCTGAAATAGTTATTAATACAATAGCATGAGAAACTTCAAAGAAAAACGGCTCACCAAGGAATACATTTTTGCTCGTTAATGTCGCATCACGCTTCTTTGTCACACGTGCACCGAATCTCTCGTCTGCCTCTTCTTCAGTTATCATTTCCCTTACTCTCGCCCTAAAAAATGTTAGGCTAGACTATAAGAAAAGAGTAGCGAATAATGAAACACTTCTAATCTAAATAATGATGAGGCCACGCGAGCTCGAATGTACGGTTACAGTGCCTCAGGATCTCGTTTNGATTTTAGGCTTTCTCTAGAATACGGAAAAGAAAAAACGGCTTCGCTCAGCGCGATGTCCGCTCAAAGTCTTAAAGCAACTGGCTACTGGACAACATCTAAGAAAGTCAAATAGAAAACATTCCGAGAATAATTAAACTGATCAGCTCAGCAACACCAGGAACCACTCCATATCCTCCGGGTTTTCAAGTAGAGGTTTGCGTGACCGCTGAACCCATAGAATTTGCTAGCCAAAGTGCACATTGGTCCAGTATTTTTCGGGCCTCCTGTCCACCTTTCCACAAAAATCCACTACCAACTGAGTAGTCCAGGAATCCAAGTACTCACTCGTACCTACGTCCTATTATAGAGTTTTGAGTATCGACTAACTGGCCCATTCCTTCTTCGTAACTAATAATACTATTTCGAACGTGAAATTAGAAAGAGGACTAATAGGGCATGCAAATGGCACTCAAGATGTACCTATGTTTATGCGTATGATTAGAAGTCTCGATCTGTTGTTGTTCAACTTGAAAATAAGGACCCATTGATGGTTCAACGGGTGAGCAACCAAAGCCTCGAATGGTACTCACAAATGTTGTTCAGTCATAATAACACTATTATCAAATGTCTTTATAAAGGGGAGTTTCATCCACTACGGATATATTATCTTCTTTATTTATAAAGCAGTAACTTGGTGTGTCTGTTTGTCGGTTTGTAGGTTTGTGTGTTTATCGGTCTGTCCGTCCGCAAACGCTATTTACGATAAGGTAGTGATATGGAAAACCGAGTTCTAACCAACACTTGATTCTTATAAATAAACAGTATCTTGGTGGGTACGCCAATGGAATAGAGTTAGTACTGCGGAGTGAAGTGAATATTGTGGAGTGAAATCGGGACTTCAAAACGGTGGTTTCTACCTGTACAGGCATCGTGCTATTATGTCTATACAAAATTCGGAGATATAGTACGGTTGAGACACCTTCCCTTTTTTCAACTTTGCACGCTATACGCAGACAAAAAGGGGAGCCTATAATTGAGTTCAGGAACGTTACCTAGCCAAGAACACACGGTTTTTTGTCCTGAGCTTCAGGAGTGAAGAAGCACGGGGTGGGTGAGGTGCACACCGCCACCCCGGCGCCAACTATAATACATTTTCTATCTGCTTTGTAAAAGTAGGGAATGAGGCCCAGCGTAAGTCGGGCGACCCGACTGGCTAGATGAGAATCGAAGATTATTAGCTGTCGGTTAAGTTTCGTCAGGAATGATATCAGAGCAAAGAAAAACCATATCTTTCACTGAGTCACAACCCTCGTTGGTTAGCGGCCGTAATCTACGAGCAAAAAATGGACCGATTTTCATTTCCTTATAAATACCCTCAATCAGACCCTATCACTGCATTTACCCCTCTTGTCGAATGAAACATTTCAAAAAGTCAAAGTTGTATTAGATCGTAAATAACAAGTGCATCAGGATTTAATTGGAAGTGGTTCTTGCACTCTAAGGCCTATTCTATTGTCAATGATCCCATCCTGCCTCCCCTACTCCTACAGAGTTTGTAGTCGCCATGTCGGGCATAGGAGTTATGAAGTTCCGCTCCAACGTTTATTTCGCGCGAACTCCACCTGTCTCGCAAACTCCGCGAGTCCGTTCCTTCCACCAAACATAAGTGCTCTCATCCTGTCTCCTGTCTTCTTACCAAATTTGTACTTTCTAGGTCCACGGGAGCAGGAGTTATGAATTTACGGTTCGACACATGCACACCCATACACACAAATACCCACAAATACAAAAACACAGACATTAGCGTGTTATATACAGTAGGATAGGGGTAATTGGTCGATTTGGAACTGTCCACACTACATATATGAACGATAATTCCTATACTAACCTTATTTTGCTCTCGTTTTGAATCCTGGTCAGATGTACTTACTTAGAATTCGTTCAAAGACTAGAACTGAAAGCTAAGCACAGCATTAAGCCATCAGTTGAACAATGATCGACTATCCGAGCATTTGAGAGCATCAACTTTGTCTGATGAGTAAAATAATACGAGAATCGAACCAAGCACTTACCTCGATGCTTCATACATCAAGTCATAAGCCTTCCGTTCGCTGTCAGTGAATTCCAACATGTGTTCATAGCTATGTTTTTCAGGTAACTCTACCTGAACAGTTTTAAAGACAAAAACTTTTTTTTTAGTGAAAGGGAACTACGTCAATGAACAAACAAGAGGCTTCTCTGAAACGGGTGACACAAAGCTCTTCTCCCTTCTCAGAACAAACGTTTTCATCAGTAGGTTCAGTCTTTCTGCTGAGTTTTCTGGAAGAAATCAAGATTGGAATCAGCAGTAAGCAGTACAACTGGGAATATTCTTGTACTCGTCGCTGTTGCTACATATTCTTTCCAGAACCGTTCTTCACTGAAGTAGTCGACTTTCAAAAACCTGTAAGGTGACGTCATTAGAACTCAACGAAGACAACCAATAGTTCTCACTATTACGACATAGCTCCTTACTTCATCAATGAGTACAAATCCCACAGATTGTTATGTAACGGCGTCCCGGTTACACACCACCTCGCATCAGCAGCTAGTGCGCATACCGCCTGAAAGTTTCAAGATTTCGGATTTGTAGATGTCAGATTCAGCTCTACAATTCGAAAACCAAGAAAGCATTGCATAAAGTATCACCGAGTATAAGTACTGCTGCTGGCAAGGGGTAAAAATAGGTGTTTTTAGAGCTTGCCGCGCTCTCGTCACGACAGCACGCTGAACTTGAAGGCCCTGTTGCAGAATATAGTTTGAACACACCTTCGTGTAGCGCACCCCATAAGTACAGATTACCTGCGCTTCCGCCTAATCACTGTTAACTAGTCCACTTTTCTATTCCGCGATCTACTATTTACTTAATCCACTTTTTTCTTGTCTCTCGTTAGCTAGAGAGGTATGAATTTCTGTGCGTCCCACATTTCACATTATGCTTCAACCACTGTACGAGGTTCAGTCTTCATTAAGCTCATATCAAAAGGTCTTACACGTTGCGAACTTTTCCATTTTCTGGCCATAGAGTTATTACACATCAAACTACAGTTTTTTTTTTACAAAACTGTCATTTGAAGTCAATCAACGACGACACTTTGAGCGAGCCTCGTTCATCCTTTCTCAAGGTCATTGCCTCATGTCTAAACAACGTTGCATTACACCTTATATACTGATTTTAAAAGCTGATTTCGAAGCTCACATGGGGCGGCTCTGCTCACTTCACGAAGTATCATGCCTCCTTCCCCATCACCTAACACCCCATACGACTAGAATTTTGACGTGTTTCTCGAGCTACGCTGAATTCCACGATCCAAGCATACGTAAACACAATAACAAGTAGAAAAAATAAATTGGGCAGTGTACAATGTATATTTCAATGAAATCAGCTCACCTTTGATGCCTTTGTTTTCCTATTTTTTACAGCGTGCGCCTCATCGAGCACAATCCGAGCCCAATGAACATCAGCAAGCGGACTTTCTCCCTTAAATCATTCTAGTACTGTGGCCTCGAAAGCTCCACTGTTTCCTTCGAAAAACACTGAACAAATGTCATAAGTTCTACAAGCTTATCCAACAAAAAAAAANAAAAAAAAACAAGTAGTAGCTCTTGTTATTTGAATAGCTTGTAATTAATTTCGTTCTTACGGGAAAGATCCCAAGTCGAAGTGGCCATTTGAAATAAGACCTACACCACTGGACGTGTTTCTGGATGCTGAGTTCAAATCTGCTTTCCGAATTTGCCAAGCATTTCTCTCAACGGAGTTATGAGGGTGGTTTCAGGGAGCTCAACATTAGAAAACTTAGATTACCTGGATGTGCCTCATTTATCAACAGCGCTTGGTGTAGTAGTAAGTGTGACGCTTCATGGGTGATAGGCTAGAGTTCGGGTTTTATGAGGGACGGAATTTTTGCATCATATAGAATTTTTCCCATAACGACTAGAAAATACTCTTATGACGGTTTTATCACGTTTTATGACCTTTTTGCTGATACCTTCTCCTACCTACCTATCTATTACCGAGTGGGAGATTCGTTCCATGCGCAAACTGTGAAGGACCGGGAGAGTAAAATGCATATGATGAGCAATGATGATGCTAGAGTGGGTGTTGATGTTAGATTGGGTGTGGTGGTGCATAGCAGCTCCGGACTCGCAGCACAGGCATAGTAAGCAAAAAGTGGGGTCTCGTGCGTACACGTACAAGTTGAGGTCATGAGCTATTTCATATGAATTTCTATAAGGAAATAAGAAATAAGCTGTATTAGCCTCAAGGTAGCTCCGAGCGAGGTGTCATTCCCTTCAGCTGTTTCTGTGGAGGTAAGGCGCACTAAATAGCTTGCTGTTCTTCAAGTCCACTATCACCAGTGCCTGTGCTGGCGAGTCCGGAGCTGCTATGCACCACCGCACCCAATCTAGCACCAACACCCACTCTAGCATCATCATTGCTCATCAAATTCTGTTTCCTTTCTAAAATGGGGTTAGTAAGCGTAAAGCAATGGGCTCTGACCAGTTTTTTTCATCCGTTGACTCCATTG